CACCATCACCATCACCATCATTCATCTGAAACAAACAAATAGCAAAACCCACAAATGTGAGTAAAATATTTTCACACAACATCAAAGCATCATTTAATGCCACAAACAAATCAACACATACTGAGGAATAGTGTCGACGGTGGTGGAAGTGATCAATGTCAGTAGGAGAGGGGACGAGAAACGAAAAGCAAAAAAACAGCAGAACTAGAACGGCAGAAACTGCTGAAATGGCTGGTATTAAAAATCGAGCGCGCTTGTGAGGCTGGTGACGCCGCCGCGGCAAAGCCATGTAAGAACGCGGCAGGCGGCGGAGCAAATAGCTGATTGATTCGATTTCCTTTAGCAGATTACAATTTTGCAATGGAGGGAACAATACTTTCGATTATTACTCCAAGTTGGAGAGAATATTTTGGAGTTTTACATTTGGATTATTTGCAGTAACGACAAGGATTCCCTTGCTGCTGATTCAACGAGTAGTAGAACAGACGTGGGTTAATCATCAACAGTAATATTTCAATAAATAGAAAAATTATATTGAATTCACCGCCTGAGACTGAAGATCAAATGAATAAAAAATAGTAAATTTAAAATTTAAAAAAAGAAAAGAAAAAAAAAAGTCAAGTTTTTGTTGATCATATTGTCAAGTATCTTCCAATGTGCCAAACAGCTAAACATTTCTTTATACGACACTTGAAAATTGAAATTATTTTTGGACATTATTGATAAACACTCAATTGTGGGAAGTTCATTAAAAAAAATAAAAAAATCTTATTTTTTAAAAATGAACCATTAAAATCCATTCTAATTCACCTGCCAAATTAACCTTATTTTTACATGTAATTAGATTATTAGAATTTTCACTTTCAATTTTCTTGGGCAAACTAAGTAGTCCAATCTAATTGTTATATTATTAGAACTCTTGAAACGCTATGTTTTCATATGTAATATAATGGGTCGAGACCTTGGTAACCGATGATCATTACTACAATAATATACTACCGAAGCAGAATAATTCTCTTTAACTAATCTCACAATTTTTGCTTTTTGAAAAAGGGAAAACTTATATAAAGAGTATATTTGAAAAATATTTATAAATGAATAGACATAAATGATGAAAGCAGTACCCGTAGTCCTAAAAAATATGTAGATAAAAAATTATTTTATCCAAATTACTTATAAATAATAGCACTTATAAGCACTTCCACAACATTCACTGAGGAGTAATAGAAACACTTCCAATAAATGGGATTCCATGATGACTTTTAAGCACCTTTAGTTTTAAGTAAGGCATCTGTCAATATGAATCATTAAACTTGTGAATAACTAACATCGTGCCACCACTAAATTCTATAAAATGTTTCTAAATCCTCAACGCAACACTTGGATTTCAGAGGGACCCCAAAAATGTGAAACATATCTTTGATGTTAAGAGCATGTTTGGCTAGTCTAATGTTTGCTTATAAGTTTTAAAATAAATATCTTTTATCCACTAAGATTCATTAAGATGAAAAATATGAAGAAGGATACAATAGTCACTTAAATGCCTGAATGTTATGTACCAAAAAAATTGCAATTCCTAACGAAATAGGTAACAAAGCTACTTTGCTTCCCTCTGCAACTCAATCACCACCCCCAAGTTAAACTGGTGCTTCTTTTTGCACCAGAAGATTATAAATGTGTAAGAAATAAATTGACACTCCCAAAAATTTCAATAAATATTCTGAAATAATCTAAAAGATTGTATCTTTGGAAAGTACATATCGATATTGAATTTCAACTTTTCAACTAGTCACGCTGACTTACCTAAATTAAGAAGGGAAAAAATAGAAAAGTAATTAACAGAAAACTAGTATGATTTTTAATCAGTACAAAACATGGCTGCATTCATGCACAATACAAAGGGCAGTCTTTGGACTCTTCAATTTGATGTACAAGCCGCAACTAAGCTGTTGGCTAATTTATAAATCCATGTATAGATTCCAAAACTAAAGGAGATTGGCATTGATAATACCATGACGAAGGAGCATACGCATGAATCGGCAGGACCACCTCATACTATGAATCTTCTTCAAATAAAACTTTCTCGAAGTCAATCTATACAATGGTCCCAAATGCAACACTTGACTAAGACTAGTGTTTTTTGCAAAGTTCCAAATCCAGGTCGATTTCACAGTACAGTCCTCCACATGTCAAGGACCCTTTTGCAGATAAATTCAAAGAATTCCGAAAAGTGAAAATATTCAAGGACTAATTAACTATCATAGGAACATGAGAATAGATCTGTTTGCTAAATAGAGGGGGGTCTGACTACTTGACTTGTATGCTTGTTGATATATTTACATCCATTATTTCTTTCATGTCTTGCTTGGTATCAGAGGCCTGCAGCTCCTGTAATTAACTCAGTAGTGTGATGACAAGCCATAATGCCATGGTTCATAAATTCAATAAATTCTCGAATTTATCAGATGGGACGTCTTCTTGAAGCATAATTGCTCGTAAGTCTCTTAGCCCACTGACTTTGATTTGGTAACCAAGATATTGGACATCCACACAAGGCACACCATCTTAAATACAGAAGGGCGGTGGCAAGATTCTCCTTGTACTCTTTAAAAGCCTCGAGTATTTGTAATTCAGCTTCCTTGTCTTCGGCAAATATTAGATTCTCGTATTCTATTCTATTTTCTTGAAGAATGTTATCTTCAGAAATCATTCTCATACTTAGAACCTGCAATGCTTCCATTGCAGTACTATGGAAGCCATTGTCTACATATGCAGAGAAAACACAACTGATGGTTGATGCATCAGGCTGAATCTTCTCTTGATGCATCTGCTCAACCATAAGCTCAATCACGTCGATTCTTCCCTGAAAAATCAATTGACAGGTGCAGAAAGTTTAGCAAGTCAAATGTACGACGAAAAAAGGAAATGCATACTTCTAATATTTAAAGGAAAACTCAACCAATTTATCCCAAGTTCAGATGATGTCCATCTCATGCATGCAATTTATAGAACTTCACGGAGTGTAGGCTTTCCTCGTCAATTCCTCTAATTTAATTGGACAGAAGTAACAGCAAAAAATTAATGCAAAAACTAGAAAACCAACTTAAAGCTTTCTTTAGAGAGAGGGGAAAAATAATGTTGAATACTTAAAGTGCTCAGGTACTAAACTATACCGTAGATTGTCTTTTATCATTCAATTTGAAAATGCAAGGGAATTGAAAAATTTTGTATACAAAAATAACAATAGGAGACTCTTTTTGCGTAGCTACGCCTATTTTCATTCTTTAGGTGCCATTTTATCAATTTGAATGTAAAACCAATTGTACCGTTTTCAAAAATAAGGTCAAGCATAGCAGATGATCTCTGCTTTCTTTTTAAATAATGATTGGAAATGCGCAGGCTGATGCACTCTGTTAATTACCTTCTCACTTGCTACTTGAATAATAGTGTTATATAGCAATACATCTGGTAGCATCCCTTCCGAGGTCCCTTGATCAAGGAGTTCAAGTGCTTCATCAAAGTTGTCAAATTCCAACAAGATCTGGCACAAAGAAATGTCTGAGAAAATTGATATTTTAAACGATATTTGGTGTCATTTACTAGCACGCTATTTTAGTCACCATGTACCCAACAACTGAATCCATAATTAAAACTAAAGGATAAGAAGAAGAGTAAAGTGTGCCAGAAAATTTCCCTCAAATTATTAGAGGAATGAACAGACTTTGGACTGCTTCACCACTTCTGCCAATGATTAGCTTAACTTATAGAAGTCGTAGATGATTCAAAAATGAACCAGAAAGTAAAAGCATTAAATATTTTCCTCTCTCTGAGAAGATTTCAAGGAAACAGTCTCAAAAAATTTCTAACTATTCATCTTCATACTTCCATTCCAACACAATAATCTAATATCGACTTCAATTTTTGTTGCTTATCCATTTTTCTGTTTTTTGTAAGCTGTTGCAGTGTGTGGGAGAACTAACCTCCTAATTCAGAAACCTGTTCAAATCTGCTCCACAATGGTTGGATTGGGCAGGCTAATATTGATAAGTTAGCCTTATCTAGTGAACCGAAAAATGTTTATTCTTCGAGTGAGTTGGAAATGTGTTGAAATCAAGACAATCAGATTGTTTCACTTTTTTCCCCTGTAGGACACTATGTTTTTCCCTAGAACAATCATGGCTATTAATGAACTAGTTATTTGATACATCTTTCGAACCATGTGAGGAAAGGTCAATTTTCTTATTTACATGTCAAGAGACTATAACTAAGGCACACTTTCCTTGGAAGCTTCCCTTAAAGGTGACAAAGATTTTGCTAGGACCAACCCACCTCCAGGAAGATGATTGAAAATGTGAATCAACCTCTTGGAGCTAGAGATTGCTCCTAGATATCTTATAATTTAGAAAATTGCTCTCTTGAAAATCCTAAATCATGCTCCAGATATCTGAAATAAATGAAAGCGGTGTTGATGGTTGAATATCATAATGCCGGACACGGGTAGAGATCATTCAAAGCAGTATCTAAGGTTGCAAACATAGCTTTTGTATGCTCAGACAAACATACGAATACATGTGCACACGCACAAACAGAGAGAATAAAGGAGGCTAACAGAAGGGGAGAGGCTAAGCTATCTATTGAAAAGAACAGAAGAAGTACAGAAAGAAATAAAGAAAGAGAAGGAAATTGGGGGCTTATTACATTTTATAGTCCTATTTCCACTTCCAGTCATATTTTTGAGGAAATTAAATGAACAAAGTTAGGCATGCGGAAGAATCACCACAACAAATTTTGATCCAAGCACAATATGAAGATGTTCATCAATGCACGTTGCACAGGCTGAAGATTATCAAGCAAAATATTTTAAATCTAATATACATTTTAATATAGTCTAAGGCCCTCCGGCTCATTGTTTCAATTGTGACTACTTGTCACAGGCTTAGTTTCATCACTCCAGAACAAACTTAAATTGTGCGGCATTAACGTCTCACAAATCTCGTCCCCATGAGAAAACATTAAGTCAGTCTTTCCACACCCACACTAATTTAATTTATAGGGCTAAATTATATCAACTTTGAATAGAGGAGGTAGATAGGAAATTATATTGAAAGGAATACATACATAAATTTGGGGGAAACCCCTTTGTATAAATGGAAGATAAAACTATTTACAATCTCTCAAGTATCCTCCCTCCACACTTTTTTCCACTCAACACTCCATATATGGATGAAAGAATTATCTCATTTTACTCCCATTCCATCCATTAGATTTTACAAATGACCAATCCCTCTAAATAGGCAAACTCTTGCTAGGCAAGTTGGAATCAATGGCCAATATTTATTTGATCCAAGGGCCTTCATTGGTTGCAAGTGGTAGCCAATTTCAAAAGTGCTTCCTTGCAAGTTGCGATTCTCCACACCTCTATGCAAGTTGATATGTGCAAGTTGCATGACCCTTGCCCAAAAAAAAATTCTCTTTATTACATAAAAAACTTGTACAATTATTTTTGTGACAAACGCACCTCACCACACCACACCACACCACATTAAATTCTACTCAAACAAGCACTTAACTATTTGATTATATCACTCCACTAACTTTTCTTACTCATTCACTCTTTTCCTCGCCACAACTTATCACTCTCTCTCTCTCTACTCTCACATGCATACATGGAGCTAATATTTATAGGACTTGAAGTTGGTTAACAACCGACATAACCTATTCTGGATTAATCTAGGTAAGTAAATTATTAATCAACTAATTCTAGATGTGTCCAGCTTTGACAGTTATTTTATAATTCTCAAGGAATTGGATTCTTCTAGCTGTGGTTGCATAAGGAAAAATCTAGAATTGATTTTGGAGCCAAAGTCGGTGATGACTTCTTCACATATCCATTTCTAGAAGTAGTATCCAAATTGAACATTGCTTCTCCTCTTGACCAAGTGGTGGTCAAGTTGAACTTTGCTTCATCCATCAATCTTGTAGTAGTCAAGTTGGATTTGTCTTTTTAATGCAAGTTGCACAAGTTAGTACCCACTTGCATCCAAAATCACCAGCAGTAGTCCATTGTATTTATCCCCATCAAAATAGTGGTTTTCATCTTCGAAAAACTTGATTTCCTTGCCCGCATCCACTGCCAACGTTTTCCCAACCTACATCCTACTTGCACAGCCTGATTGCATTTGCTGCATGCATTCTACTTGCAAATTCTGCTTGTGTTACTGCTTGTGTCCACGCCACTGTGCCCATACAACCTGTCTGAGTTTTCCTTGTCTGCGTTCCTTACCGTAGTGCCTGTGTTTTCCTTACTTGCGTCCCCTACCGCATGTAGTTCCATCCTACAGTAACGTCTTGTCTACACTACCTAATTTTCTAAGATACAGCCTAGACGTATCAACCACGACCATGTGGATACAAGTCATTCTCCCACCGAATTAGGCAACGCCCTCAACGCTGCGTAATGCCGAAGGTGGGACCTAATTAGCCACAGGTCTACTTCATTCTCCCATCTTGTACCGTGACATTACTAAGTCACGTCAAGCCTCAAGTCACTCCACTTTGGATAGTGACATACTGCTCTAATTCTATAGGTTTTGCTTGATGTAGGACAATTCTACTAGAAATCAATTATTACTAGTTTTAGGATTTGAATATTATTTGTAATTAGGATTCGATTAGTTTTCTTATTTAGTTGATACGATTTTTACTTCTATTAGAAATAGGTTATCTGTTTAAGTAGTCTACTAGAATTAGGAAATTATCTCTTCTTCCCATGCCCGTACAAGAAGAGGCTAGACTTGTTTGTGATAACAATGCATTTTCATATATTCAAGTTATTTTAGATAATTTCTTGAGCGTTTTAGCTCTTTCTCGTTTTTACAAGATTTAAATTCTTTTGTCGTTCTAGAATTGGTCAAAGCAAGTTTTAAGTAAGGGTCTGATGATCACTTGGTAGTAGCATACATCCTCATGACAATGCTTGGAGGGTTGTAAAATTACTAACTTGGTCTCGAATCCGGAACGAAATTGAATAGGTTCAAAAATGCTATTGAAAAGAAGTTGTAGAATTTGACTATTACGAATTTGATCGATTCAACCAGCTTAAAACACGATAATAGGTGGATAGAAATTTTTCAAACCCCAACTATGTTTGAATCCTCACAATGTGATGGCAGAAATTTTAGAGTATTTTCTTCCTGATTAATTGATTT